GTGAGTGGCACCACACTCTGGACAAGACAATGGTCCGAGTAGCCTAAAGGGGCGTCGACGGAAATCTGATATCCGTCCGGGTGAGAGGTCAGTAGAAGGTCCAACAGGGAAGGTGCATGATCCTTCATATCTGGAATCCGCGTAGGCGAAGTAACCAGTTGTGTCAGACCATATGCCAAGGCAAAATCATGAACAGATCTCCCCGCATGATCGGTTAAACGTGAACCAAGCTATTCGGCGTGATGGGCGTTAAAGTCGCCGAGGATCACGATCTCTGCGGAGGGGATCTGCTGTAGCAGCGAATCTGTAGCCATTTGGACGTGGTCGAAGAGACGGTCTGTTTCGGCATTACCGCTATGGGACCTATAGAGGCACCCGTAGACGCGCGGATGGTCGTCGCTGTCTACACGTAGCCAAAGGTGACAGTAGCCTAATGGCAGGGCGCGGATCGATAACTCAAAAGGTCGTGGGTTCGAATCCGCTATTTGACTACTGTCGTGAACCACTCCTAACACAAGCGTTTCAAGCTTACCAGGAGTGGTTAAAAGGAATATCAGTAATGTTGATTTGTAATAAGATTACTAATATTTAAAAAAAAAGGATGGACAGGTCCGAACCTTTAAGTCTGCTGAGGCGTCGAGAACAGATGTCCTCTCTGACGTAAACGCAAACTCCAGCCCGAGTCACAAAGGAGTGTTCCAGTTTGTACCCCGGGTAGGAGAGATACGAGACATCAGCCGGAGAGGACACCTGAGTCTCGTTCAGAAAGAGCAGAGCCGGCCTCGCCATCTCGAGATGGTAGTGGGCGGCGTTTAGGTTAGAGTGAAGTCCCCTGATATTGCAGAAATTCACGGATAGCGAGGCAGGGGTCGCCTTGGTGTTGTTGCTCCGTTTGCCCCGAGCAGTTGTAGTCTTGAGCGGAATTTTACCTCCTCCCCCCCAGAATACGCGGGGCAGCCTGAGTACCCACGCTCAGAAGTGGAGAAACATGGTCGTGGATGCTCAGCGAGGGATTCTCCAGGGGTGCTGGTACCCTCCTGGGGTAGTCTATCATCATTTAATTCCGCTATCATGTTGACTGGGGGGGGGGGGGATTTGGGCCTCCGGCCACCTGCACTCACCAGACGAAACGCGGAAGCAGAGCTTCCACTTCACGCCGGTATTCTGTGAGGTCGTGGTTCCACCCCGGTTTGAGCCGGCCCATACGTGCAACAGCAAAGCTGCCGCGTGGCTCCACCACTGTTAAAGAAGAATTTTCGCAGTTTTGTGTTTGTTTTGTCAAACGGAATATCGCATGTGATAGCGCCAGCTTATCGTCCGGCTAGTAATGGACGAGCAGAAAGCTATGTAGAGGTTATAAAGAAGGGTATTAAGTCTTGTTTATTAGATAACAACAATTTAATAAAAAGACCTTTGTTTGTTAAAATATCTCTTCGATTATAGAAACTCAGTACACATTACAACAGGGCTTTCACCGGCGCAGTTAGCATTTGGCATAAAACTTCGATCGCGCCTGGAGTTAATGAATCCTATAATGCCGCTGTCCTCATCTGACACTCTCGCTGAAGTAATCAAACGCAATCAGTCTTTGCAGATTAAAGCGTATAGACGGACAAATAAACAATATTTCAAAGAAGGGGCAGTGTTCTTTATAAAAAAAATAATGTGAATAAACGCTTCGTTTGGGAAAGAAGCACTGTAATAAAAAAATTGGTAAAACAATATATTTCATCAAAGACTTTGTAACTTCTTTAGTGTTTAAAAAGCACAAAAATCAATTAATGCCCTATATGGGAACAAAAGTTAACAACAACTACGACAACTTCAGTTCTGTCGAAATATCTGACATTACACCAGATATTACTAACACAGACCCACGTCCTACAAACGTGTCGACACAACAAGCGCCCTCTGACGATGAAGACGCCCAGAAGACCCAAAATATGGAAGGGGAAAGAGGATGTCATCAGTCTCCATCATCCACTGAATTACAATCGACGGAAAGCGTGCCACCGCCGGAACAGTCAGAGGGTGAAGAATATTCAAAGGTCAGCGTACATAAGGAGAATATGGGAAAGATCAGGGCCTCGAGTGACCACGTTCAGATTTCGAGGTCAGATTCGTCAGGAAGAGTATTACGTCCAATACCTAAAGTTAATTATAAGCCTGTTTTCTGTATAGATGTATGATTAAATTTTATGTGTAGAATTAGAGGGAGATGTTATGTATACTAGGCTGCACTAAAAGTATCGGGAATGGAATATTTCCACTGTTCCTGTCATATTAAAATCTTTTTAATTGAAAACTCCTTGGTTTTAAAAATCGAATACCGTTTATTTATTTAAAAAAGATTCTCGGTCTTGTTACAAGGTTTTGTCAAACTTGTACAGTTGTTGAGAAAATGGAATTGACTCGAGAAAATTCAAGAGCGATGATTTATTATGACTTTCGAAGTGGTTTAACACAAAAACAGTGTGTTGACCGGATGATTTCTGCATTTGGTGATGAAGCCCCATCCAAAACCACAATTTATCGCTGGTTTGCTGAATTTCAACGTGGACGTGTCAAGCTCAGTGATGATCCCTGTCAAGGTCGTCCAAAAACTGCAGTCACAGAAGAAAACGTTGATCCTGTGCGTAAGCTGATTGAGGAAGATCGACATGTGACATACCACGAAATTCAGGCAACTTTAGACATTGGCATGAGTCAAATACAAATAATCTTGCATGAACAATTAGGTGTAAAAAAGTTGTTTTCCCCGATGGATACCGCATTCGCTCTGTGAAGAGCAAAAAGAGGCTCGTGTTACTTGGTGCGTCAGAACTCTCGAAAGATTCCACGCAGGATCCTCAAATGCTGTACACAACATCGTATCAGGCGAAGAATCCTGGATATACGCGTACGAACCCGAAACAAAAAAACCGGTAACGAGTTTGGGTGTTTGAAAATGAGTTAAAGCCAACAAAAATTGTTCGTTTACGGAGTGTTCCAAAAAAAATGGTGGCCACGTTTGTCTCCAAAACCGGCCATGTTACGACTATTCCTCTTGAGGGACAAAGAACGGTTAATGCAGAATGGTATGCTAGCATTTGTTTGCCACAGGTCGTTTCTAAACTCCGTAAAGAGAACTGCAACCGCCGCATCATCCTCCATCACGACAATGCGAGTTCTCACACCGCACACAGAACAAAAGAGTTTTTAGAGCAAGAAAACATAGAATTATTAGACCATCCGCCGTACAGCCCCGACCTAAGCCCTAATGATTTCTATACTCTCCCTAAAATAAAGAATAAATTGCGTGGGCAGAGATTTTCATCACCTGAAGAAGCTGTGGACGCCTACAAAACGGCCATTTTGGAGACCCCAACTTCCGAATGGAGTGGTTGCTTCAATGATTGGTTCCATCGTATGGAAAAATGTGTCAAATTTCGCGGAGAATACTTCGAAAAGCAATAAATACATTTTTAAATAGTAATGTTGTGTCACTTCCTTGATTCTCGAAATTTTGAGTGCCGCCCTCGTATGTAGATATGTAGTGATGGCTGCGACCATCTTATAATAATAGGTACATTCGAATAAAGGGCAGTGCGTATTCAACTAAGCATAGTTTCACTTGTCCCGTTCGCATATATAACAATAACATTATTAGTGTTATTGGTTAGGGTAGATCATGGTTTTTTAATTATTGTTCAATATGTATGTAGAAATAAAGTGGTTCTGAGATATTATCAAAAATAATAAAAACATATTAGTGTTTTCAGGTAGATTTCCAAAATTAATCAATATTTTTACCCGTTGTATTTCAATTGAGTAAATTAATAATAATTTATTTAGTATTTAATTACGTTAATAAAATGTAATAAAATTTTGCATTTCATTAGCTTTCTATGGGTGATTTTTATTGTGATATAAGTAAAGATTTTTCTCCGTGGTAACTAGTTTAGTCGAACTATTCGCGATCGGAGCGTAAACAACCGCGACGAACGGCGTCGGCACGTGCAAGGCTGTTGTCGCCGCGTCGCTCGGACGGTCAAGTGACTAAAGACATTTTCACACTAAAAAACCACTTTTCGGCTTCAAATTATATGGGCCAAAATTTTGGCAAAAACGGAAGATTTCTAACGAGTGTAGAAATTAAAACTATTACGAATGAACAAGAGCGCGATGAACGTGGCGATACAATTTTTATTATCTCTAGATCAAACCTAGCTTTTCTTTCTTTAAATATCACCCCTAAAAATCTGCCACCTGGGGTCATGGCCTCTCGCCCTTATTACGCCCCTGGAAATTGTAAATCGTAATGATTTTATTTTGTCTTTAACAGGTCAAAATCTACTACTGGTCATAGGCCTCTCCTATAGTATGCAGACCTTGTATACAATGCAAATGGTACTGGTATATATGAGATGGTCACACCGCAATCTAGTGGAGAACATGAGATCTTTCTACAATTTTTAATGTATCTAGATTAAAGTCTCGACATGATTGGAATCACTTATACATAAACCCTTATTTTAAAAGTTTTCAAATAATTTATGTTATTCATTTTTAGTCAATCTTGACATTCATAGAAATTGATATTTGGTCAATTCTATAAATGACACCAAGTCTTATGCACTGCCACTAACTAATTTTATTATATTATGTATTTTATTTACAATATACATGTCTAATAGAAAGATATCTACATTTACTGCATCTCTCTATGTCTTCACAGATACTGTACATGTTACCAAAGAGCCAAAGACCAATTTAAGTGGCACGCCTTAGGTATGACCTTCGTCCGGCAGTGCCCTGCCTCAGGCTTATGATGCTGATGATGTATCTCTGCTGTTATGTATTGAAACTCACCCAGGAGTAATAATGCCTGTAAACAATCATTTTAGTATGATTGTTAATAGGTATTACTTCACCACTTGATAAAGGTGTAATAGTATCTAAGAAATAAGTAATATTTGGTTATACCTATATTTAGTATTGACTCACAGATGGTAGATGAGGCGCCACGTCCGCCGGCGTGCGCGCTGCGCTTGCATTTGCGGCTGGTGGCGCGCGCGCCGCCCGCCACGTCTGGCGCCGCGCCGCCGCCGCGCGCGCGCTCGCACCGCCCCGCTCGCCGCCACCCGCCCCGCGCGCCGCCCCGCCCGCCGCGCCGCCCGTCGCCCGGGGCGCTGGCGCGCGCGCGGCCGCCTGGCGCCGCGCCTCGCTGCGCCGCCTGGCCGCGTGCAACGAGCGGCGCTGCTGGCACCTGCCACTGTACGGCGCCGACCTGCGCGCCGCCGTGCACGTGGGTCCGCCCGTGCTTCCGCCGCGCGACCTCGCAGATATGCTGCACGACATGCACGACATCATCGACAGGTCATTCCCCACTCTCTACTATTTACTTATTATGTACGACAGTTGGCGGGGTTTCGCCCCCACCACGGGTGCCGCGGAGAACATGTTTTGTTAACTATTGCTCCTGCGCCTCATCGGACCATCCGACTATGAAAGTAAGAGAATGGAGAGTACATCTTGCCTTGCGCTTACATAATCCTGTCCAAATAGCTGCTCAATAACAGTAATTGAATCTCAATAATTATAATAATGTCACCGGACATGTGTGGCAGTTAAGCTATTGCATAGCTTCTATCGCGGGCCTTGAGCGCGGGGACCGAATCCAGAAATTCCGTAACGAAAAAAACCTCACGCTCCCCACTCCGACGGGCACGGAGGTGTGGCGTTGAAAGCCGTGCATCGTCTAACGTCGTTTCAGTTCGGCAGACTTCGGCACGGTGTTTGTGTGCGTGCGACTAGACGTATGCGTGTACACTAGCTGCTAACTCAATGATAAAAATTCCTGAATAACCTACATGTATTGTAAGATATTAAAAATATTTTAAACAATATTAACTTCTCATTTATTCAATAAGAGAAAAAAAATTGTTTTCTTATCGGTGACCACGCTCAAAAAGTGTAACTTGATTTAATATCAAAGACTTAACTGCATAAAATAAAATAAATAAATAATTATAATTGCATAAGTTAATAAAAAATGCTATGCAATAGCTTTACCACGGCAGTCACCGAATGCCACACGTATTTTATTTTGTTTCACATTACTTAGAAATCTTACTTGACTTTATAAAAATGCTGATGTGGCTGATTGCAATACAGTGGACTTTCGGTATTCCGGCCTCTGTCTAAGTGGACATGGTCTATTATTTATTATTAAATATTTTTTTGACTATTTTCTCTAAGGCATGGTTGAACAAGTTATAAGTTGTATGTACCACCACAATTTGCTCGACGCGTAGGGTATTGTTTTAATTCTGATTGCTTAGTTTGGATTTGACTACATGTGCTGAGGATAGCGGTGCGGCCTGGTGTGTGTTCAGAGAAGAGTACATATATATAGGATCGGTAATTTGTCTGATTACAATGTACTTATTCTTTTGTAAACAAATCCGGACTATAGGGGGTCATAGGCAGTAAGTCTATAATCTACTGACCTCTATACAACATGTAACATAATTAACGCACTTTGAGAAAGTAGTTTGTGCAGAATCGTTTACTGAATCGATTCCTAACATTTTTAATATAGGTAATTTTTTATCCCAAAAATAATTAAAACTACGTAAATTACAGTCACACTAAATCTGTACAGTCAAAACAAACTGAAATGGACTGTAACTTAAGGCAATAAGACTTTTAAGAGTGCAGTTTTAATTGTATTATTACTAATTCTGTCATTCAATAAAAATAAAGAAAAATGAACTTTATTTCGAGCACGTTAAAGTCTTTGCGTTCGTGGATTTGTACTGTGACCACAACATTATTCCGGAATTAGTATAACTAATTTGATAAATAATCAGTGCATAAAAATGTTTTACTAAAAATTCAGTGTATGTATTATGATTATAACATCATATACTAATTGGGGTATCTGAGGGTGTGCGTTAATTACGTTACATATTATATATACAAGTACGCTGGACTGGCTATACCATACGAAATGACTGTGCCAATTTGAAGCGCCGCTAAAGGATGTCTTGAAAAATAAAATTGACATAATGTGCCAAAGTCTGTTGTCTTATTTATATTGTCTTATTTCATAAGTCTGTATTTTGAACTTTTAAACTAAAAAACGAAAGTATTTTGTTGTTGATTGTGTATAATATTAGTTACATAATAAGAATTATTTTTATTCATAATGAGAGTGTGCGTAATCTGTAAAACTCGTTACCATAAGGGAAGTGATATAACATTTCACAAGTAAGTGAATTTGCAGCAAATATTAAACAAATTAAAAGTATTTGATGATATAAGTACTTAAAAATTTCTTACTTATCTTATTATCATATATACCAACATGTTTGGCTGTATATTACTGAGTTTTGATAAACAATAAAATTCAATAGGGTTGTCGAGTTCCTTGTCTGTAATACTTATCGATGTTCTTTCCTACCCATATGTGTTAACAAAAAAAGTCGCCAACAACGGATGATTATCAAATTTTTATCAATTAACAGGTTTCCAATTGAACCTAGACTAAAATTATGGCTTAAAAGCATAAATATTATGAATTCGCGTCCGAAACAAAATGATCATATTTGTTCCAAACATTTTACACACGACTGTTTTATTAGACATGAGAACTACACCACTTTGAAAAAGTGCATATTTTCTGGTACCAGTGTGAGTAAGTATAAAAATATTAGATTATTATTTCGAATGTTCTTTATTTTATTTTTTCTTTCCTCATTTTTCACCAAACTCAAGGGCCATAGCCATGTGTCGAAAGATCGCCTGATGATGTCGAGCCACGTTGGATGTGTGTTAGTGGGCTGCGGCTAGAGGAGATTCCTCTCCCTGGACCGCTGTAGTCGAGGTGGAGTCGTAAGAGAAGAGGAGTGTTAGTATGGTGATTGGACTATTTTTCGCGACTTTGGTAAGGCTGCACCACTTGATGCTTCCAAGTGCTCGTTTTTCCCTGGCTCCATTCACATATCGGGCTCGAGGAATCCGAGTGCAGCTCGTATCTCTATAAATGTTTCCTCGGTTTAAGATCTTTGTAGAATATTTAGAGACGATACCAGGAGACCCGACGGTATGGGTTTGGTTGCTTGAGAGAGGAAGAGAGAGAGATAAAGCTTTAGTGTGGGATACTACTTGCGAACACTTTGACAGCATCCCATCTCAGGGGTACCTCGTCTAAGGCAGGGGTGGCATTAGAGGCAACTTAACCAAGTAAATAGCCCAGAGTATCCGGAAGATAAGTACATATTTGTGCAATTTGCTGTAGAGACTATTGGTCTGTAGGGTGCACGTGCTGTGTAGTTCCTAAAAAACTGTATCTGCGACTGATCATCGCTGCTGGTAATAAGAAGTTGTTTAGTTTATTGTTTTCTCGCTTGAAGGCTAAGTATAGCCATTCAGTGAGGACACGTAGCCAACATTCTTGGGACAATACCACAGAAAGTAGAACTTTATGATAAATTCAGTTATTTTTTTTAATATTGTAATTTCAATTTCGAAAATGACGTTGTAAATAACTGATAACTATGTAATTCAAAGTCTATTTTTTTATATTATCTTGCTAGCTGGTACCCGGCGCATTGCCGCCGCAGAAGAAGTAATTGTGGAAATATCGTTAAAAATGTGGAACAGTTGCATTGTATAATAAGGAATGATAATACAATCATTTAAATATAATGTTATATAACTTTCTATAACTTTCAAATAAATAGTCGGTATAATACGCACGTCACCTAGTGTCAGTTAATTGTACCATGCGTATAACCTTCGCACAAGTGCAACCTATAAGTTGACTAAGTTTGACCACAATCTGATGAACAAAAATACGAACAAACATAAATTTTTTATAGGAGAAAATATTTTACTGTCTATAGACGGACCTGTAGTTGATTAGAATAGGCGTTATTATAGCAGCTGATTTGTTTTTTATAATACCAGAATTAAATGAAGTGTTGATAATAAATTATTTTAGGAATTATGTTTTTATTTTTATTTTGTGTGATTAGTTTAATCTGAATAATTTTTAGTTGAATGGTCTAAGCGCTACGATGGCTATCCGAGTACAGAATCGGAGTTTAAACCTATCCAACCGCAGAGAGGTGTAAAACAAGGTGACGTTATATCCCGTCTCTTCACTGCTGCATTAGAAGACGTTTTCAAGCTACTGGACTGGAAAGGATACGATATTAACGTCAATGGCGTGTACGTCACTCACGTTCGATTTGCCGACCTACGCACTATTTTCAATGACCTCAATCGTGTCTCCCAACGGATAGGTCTTAAGATGAACATGGACAAAACAAAAGTCATGTGTAATGTCCATGTCACACCTATGCCGGTGGTTGTTGGGAGCACTATGCTCGAAGTTGTTGACGAGTATGTTTACCTGGGACAAATAGTCCGACTAGGTAAGTCCAACTTCGACCGAGAGGTCAATCGGCGGATTCAACTCGGCTGGGCAGCGTTCGGGAAATTACGACATATCTTCTCGTCAGGTATACCTCAATCTCTAAAAACTAGATTGTACAACCAGTGCGTGTTGCCAGTGATGACTTACGGATCTGAGACGTGGTCCTTCACCGCTGGCCGTATGAGGACGCTCAAGGTCGCTCAGCGAGCTATGGAGAGGGCTATGCTCGGAGTTTCACTGCGTGATAGACTCAGAAATGAGGATATCCGCAATGAAACCAGAGTGACCGACATAGCCCAACGGATTAGTAAGCTGAAGTGGCAATGGGCCGGCCATATAGCTCAAAGAACCGATAACCGATGGGGAAGAAAGGTTCTCGAGTGGCAGCCTCGTACCGGTAGGCGTAGTGTAGGGCGACCCCCCACTAGATGGAGTGACGACCTGGTAAGACATGCAGGAAGTCGATGGATGCAGTTGGCTCAGGACCGTGCTTTGTGGCATTACTTGGGGGAGGCCTATGTTCAGCAGTGGACTTGTGAAGGGCTGTAATGATGATGATGAGATTGTACAACCAGCGCGTGTTGCCAGTGATGAGCTGTGGATCTGAGACGAGGCCCTTCACTGCTGGCTGTATGAGGAAGCTCGAAGTCGCTCAGCGAGCTATGAAGGGGCTATGCTCAGGGGTTCAAACTTAGGAATGAGGATATCTGCAGCAGAACCAGAGTGATCGACATCGCCCAATGGATTAGTAAGATGAAGTGGCAATTGACCGGCCATATGTCTCGAAGAACCGAATAACGATGGGGAAAAAATGTTCTCGATTGGCAGCCTCGTACCGGCAGGTGAAGTGTAGGACGTTCCCCACTAGATGGAGTCAGAACTCGTCAAACATGCAGGAAGTTGATGGATGCAGGTAGCTCAGGACCGTGCTTTGTGGCATTCCTTGGGGGAGGCCTATGTTCAGCAGTGGACTTGTGAAGGATTTTAATGATGATGAATGATAATGGCATTATATTAATATGATACATTAATAGAATGGACGTTACGGGTAGAGTCCGTCTATCCATAGAGTCCATTCTATTTATTTAGGTATAGGTGGGTATAAAATTTTTATCGATATAATTTGGTACATTGTCTTATCCCTGTTATTAGTTCCGTGGACGTGCACTTCTGCAGCCAGCGCCAAAATGGCGGAAATCAAATAAATCGCTTCATCATGTCACGGTGTGTAGCCAGTCCAGCGTACTTGTATATATAGAGGTCAGTGCTATAATCTGACAAATTCGATAGATCTACACTGCCCGCCAAAATGTTTGTCGGGTTACTGCGGGTTCACTGTATTGAGTAAGGGGTGGATTGAGGCGATATATATATATATATATATATATATATATATATATATATATATATATATATATATATATATATATATATGTATCGAAATAGTGGTGTTTGGTTTCAATCCGGATAGAAGGACTAAAATGATTATACACTTGGCGTGATTATAAATACAACAGATAGATGAAATAGGAACTTGATAACAAAATTTTATTTATGAATCGTGGATTAGAATACTTTCCCATTGGCGCAACTGTTTTGTTCATTAGCAAGTGTGCAAGTGGAGATAAGCTCTGAGACATGTAATAATTTTAAAAGTAATTTTAATACACATATTTGTTTTCTAGAGTTCTGCTAAATACCGAATTTTTTGAATGATTAATTATTAATAGTTGTCAAGTTTATATAGTGAGGTTTCCGGTGGCAAATGACGTAGCGTGGTTGCGTGCAGGTTCAGCATGTGCTGTGGTGGCGCGCGGGCGGCGTGCTGCGAGCTGCGCTGCCGCGGCGGCGGCCCGGAGTACCGCGCCTGGCGCCGCCGCGCCGCCGCCGCCGAGCGCGCCGCCGCGCCCGCCGCGCGCGCCGCGCTCGCGCAGCTGCACGTGCCCGCCGCGCGCCAAGCCGTCGCCTTCCCGCACCCGCGCCTGCTGCAGTACGACTGCGGTCAGTGCTCAGTACCCACACTGCACCTGCTCACACTGCACATGCACACGTACCATGCGCCGCGCTCGCACAGCTGCACGTGCCCGCCGCGCGCCTGGCATAATTATTTAAATTAAACCTACAATTATCCTACTGCTGATATGCATTCGTTTTGTTCTCACAAAGTTTGGTTTTCTGAAGGCTTCTACCGCGTGTGAACTGCACACATGTTCTTTTTTATAGAATAAAGGTGACAAAAGAGCACACAGTCCATCTGATGGTAAGTGTACTGTGGGTCATAGACATCTACATCATCTATTGAGAAAATCGAAATGCAAACGCGTTGTTATCCCTGAGGACCAAGATGGAATACCTTGTTTCTAGTAATAATGGTTTCCAGTTCTCGAAACTCAACATACGAAACACAGCAGCATTAAGCTGGTTTTGTATTGCTTTTTTGCGATTGAGCTAACACATTCGTTCTACACCCATAATATAGCTACAGCGTGACTGTAGCACGTGTAAAACTGGAGCATTGCATTGCATGGAGCAAGCATTACTGTTTGGTGGTCGACATTGGTGCGATGGTGGTGCCCAGACAAATACTTAAAATGACTCCTACTTCCTGGAGATTGCTAGTTTAATCAAAAATTTGACATTTGTTTGATATAAACGATAAAAATGTTTAGTTCGAGTGCTTTGTGCCACCCATGGAATGCTAATTCGTCATCATAGTAAAAAAATATCGATTGAATGTCACAACAACCCCAACTACCTTTAGCTTATAATTATTTTTGTTCAATTTACGTAAAAATTTGTAAATTGTGTAAAAAGTGAAGTTAGCGAGGCGACGTTAGTAGTGTGTGGTGGAGTAATGTGTACGACGGTTGTTTGTCGGCGCGGCGTGCAGGCAAGCTGCAGACGCTGGACGCGCTGCTGCGGCGGCTGAAGGCGGGCGGGCACCGCGTGTTGATCTTCACGCAGATGACGCGCGTGCTGGACGTGCTGGAGGCGTTCCTGTGCATGCACGGCCACGCCTACCTGCGCCTGGACGGCGCCACGCGCGTGGACCAGCGCCAGCAGCTCGTGGACCGTTTCAACGCGGACGCGCGCCTCTTCGCCTTCATCCTGTCCACCCGCAGCGGCGGCGTGGGCCTCAACCTGACGGGCGCCGACTGCGTGGTGTTCTATGACTCGGACTGGAACCCTACCATGGACGCGCAGGCGCAGGATCGGTGCCACCGCATAGGCCAAACGCGCGACGTGCACGTGTTCCGCCTCGTCACCGCTGCCACCGTCGAGGAGAACATCCTGCGCAAGGCCGAGCAGAAACGCATGCTGGGCCACCTCGCCATCGAGAATGGCCACTTCACCACTTCTTACCTGCGCCTCGTGAGTGCACCCTATCTGCTCTATAGCTTCACGTAAATAATATAATTGTGATGTTTGCTAATAAAATGAATTGTATGTAATTTTAGTCGAACATCAAAGAGTTGTTCGGCGGTGAAGCGGGTGTGGCGGGTGAAGGCGGTGAGGCGAGCGAGGCGGGCGAAGCGGCCGAAGCGGGTGGAGAGCTGGAGAGCGCGCTGGCGGCGGCCGAGGATGAGGCGGACGCGGCGGCGGCGCGTGCGGCGCGCGCTGAGGCGCAGGGCGAGCTGGCCGAGTTCGACGACGCGCCGCCCGACGCCCCGCCGTACGCCGCGCAGCACGCGCCGCCCGCGCGCACCGCACGTCCGCCGGACGACGCGCGCAGCGCCGAGCTGGCCGAGCTCGCCGCGCTCATGAACCAGGTCACCACATAATATGTACATAGATAGATAGATAACTCTTTATTGCATTTGAACAAAGTTATTACAATAACGGAAAACTTATAACTACAAACGGCGGTCATAGCGCTTTAAGTGATTTCTGTCTGACAAACCGAACATAAAAGGACATTATAATTTTATATTTTGACGGATAGGTGCAACGTGCAATATGAAATAACAGAAAAAAATTATTAAAAATAATATTTATAATATATGTATATATATATATACATATATATACATACATATATTTGTATATGTTCAATAATTTTAATTTAATATATTCAAACATATACTGCAGAAAATTTAACAAAAAAAAATCAAGTATATATGAAAAGAGGTAATACATATAATTTATTATTATGACGGGAACTTCAAATGATACTCCATAAGTAGTTTTTTAAAAGATTGTAAAGATTGCGCTTTCTGTATGTTAAGTGGTAAGTAAATGACTTATTATAAAATTAAGTTACGCTGTAAGGGGTATTAAAGCCAAGCTATACACTGAACGCAAATTGCGGTTATGAAATTCATATCGATAGTGAAAATGTATCTTGGAGATTTCGGATCAAACAGTACACAATAAAGTAAAGAGAGTATATGAACATCCCGGCGAAGGCGAATAGGGAGCCACTTGAGTTGATTTCGAAATTGGGATACATGATCATATTTGCGTAAACCAAATATGAATCGAATGGATATAATATTCTGAAGACGCTCAAGCTTGTTTAATTGCTCCATGGTAATATCAATGTAGCATTGTACGAGCATGTAATGCAACGTACAATTGTTAAGTCATCATTTCACAACGTGACCTCTTTTACATATTTCCGCGGCTCATGTATTTTAAAATCAGTTCGCCGATAGCCACAAGAGCGCTACGCGTACTCATTATCAGTAGTTCTAGCCTTTTAATTTGTATACTTGTCCATAATATATTTCATCAAACTTATCAAGCGTTATCAGTTTATCAGCATAGTCTAAAATAGGTAACAAAATTTTGGTAGAAATGGACAAGAAATTTCGGAGTCTCTTGACTTCCACAAGCTGCAAACATTTTCTTGCTTATCTGTTCAATTTGAGGTGTCCAAGACATTACACATTATTCCTTATAGTACAATAGACATTATTCCTTATAGTAAGGTTATTTAAATGTAAAGAAGCCATGACAACAGTAACAATAAACAAAGTAAATCCCAGAAGATGAGGAGTGTTTTTAAAATTTAAGAGTATTTAAGAATTTGTTGAACCCTCGGTGCGAGGGCCAAAGAACTCCAACGCAAACAATCTACTTATATTATGAGGCTTGGTACGGAATAGTTCTAATTCGCCGTTATTTATTGACAATTTGTTAAAAAAGTTACTCGCACGAATAATAAATGAATTGCGGCGGTAGTTAGTACTGACTCTTGGAATAGCTAGTGGCAGAGTACGTCTAGTTGGTGATCTGCGCGGAACCCGGATGCTGACCTTTTCCAGCAAAGCAGGGCAATCAATGATGCCTCCGACAATTTTTAATAGATACGTAATATCGAAGAGTTACCGACTTTTTTCTAAAGGTAAGAAGTGGTATCTATTGCATCTCGTTTCACAACCATGGTCCAATTGCTTACACTTGTATTGTAGATATATCTCAAGAACCTTTTTTGTATGGACTCAATACGGGAAGTGTACACGTTATATTGTGGATTCCAGACCACAGAGGCATACTCAAGGATACTGCGCACATAAGCACAATAAAGTACTTTAATCGGTTTAATAGATTTAAATTCATATGTAGACCTTATAATGAAACCAAGAGACTTGGAGGCCTTTTTCACTACGTAATCAATGTGCTTATCAAATAAGTTTAGAATCTTGAATGAGACCCAGGTCTTTCATAGATGTAACTTAGTTAAGTGACTTATTATTGATTTTATACTGATAATTTATAGGATTAAATTTACGAGAAAAGGTCATAGCAAAACACTTGGAAACATTCAAATCAAGCTTAATTTGAGTACAGTATTGCACAAAATTATTCAGATCGGACTGAAGGCGATCACAGTCACCAGAGCTGTTAGTGGCCATAAAGATCTTAGTGTTGTCTGCATATAATAAGACTCTGGCATGTTTGAAACATAACGCAATGTCGTTAATGAATATAGCAAAGGTCCTAATAAAGAGTCTTGAGGTACGCCAGAAGGAATTGTTATCCACGCAGAAGTAAAACCATTTATTGCAACCGCCTGGGATCTATTACTGATGTAAGAAGAAAACCATCTAAATAAATTACCATGTATACCGGCTTTGTACAGTTTCTCAAGGAGCAGCAAGTGATCTATACGATCAAAAGGTATTATATCAATAGCAAGTAATCTCAAATCTATTTTGGATACAACAGAATGCCTGAATGCATTAACCTTTAGCTGCCGACCTGGTCTAAACGTAGCACTTACGCCGACGTGACGACTGAGAGACGTCAAACTTTAAGTACTTGAATAAAATGTGTATTTTCATGCTACATTTTTCTATTTTATACATTTAAAAAAATTGTTGTTTGAGGTGACAAACTACAGAATAAAAAAAAAATTCACGCTATTTTTCTGGTAAAATCAACATTTATTCGAGAGATCTCAATTATTTGGCAATAAATTTTAAGGACTTACTTCAGTCTTCTTTTTCTCTAAAATTAAGTAATTAACAACAAATTAACTTAAAATATGTTATCTTCTATAAACTATTATCAAAATAAAATATAAATCTTACTTATTAGTTAAAAAATAAAAAAAAATGACAGCCCTCGAATATTTGGTACATTCACTACGTACGTTTGCAGTCAATGCATATGTGTAGGCAGCAAGTAAGGCACATTGGTTTCTTGCATTTGCAGCAACAGTACTTCGTTCGCCTTCTCAACCGACTGGCACAGACTGCACGTGTTCTTCTAACACCTGAATCTGGATCCTGGTAAGTTTTTGGTGGTGGAGGCTCGGGCATATCGGCGGGTGCAATAACTCGCTCGATACTTAGCCGCAATTCCCGTGGGATCCTCTCATTGTAGACGCGTAATTTCATTTCCGGGAGTACTAATTCACGACCCAGCAGGAGTAAAAATAGGCCACGACTTATGTCGCTCTTGTTTGTGCACTTGTTGTACAATACATACGTATTAACACCGCTCATATCTATCAACATGTAAAACAAAGTCATAGGCCAATGTGGAGTTCTTCGAGAGCACGAGTAATTCGAGCATTTCTTATCCACCTCATCCACCCCTCCTTTCGTCTTGTTATAGTCAATTATCAAAATAGACTTATTAGTTGCAGAATCAGTCTCTTTGATATGGTGCACAGACGACACCAGTAATACAGCTTTTTTAGGCTTAGGCACGCAAGACAGAATAGTATTGTCTTTGGTGAATCCGTATAACGAAGAACCAACCACTCTATCTTTGTGAGGCTGAAATTCTGGTGGGATCTCCCTGTTGTTTTTCTTCATAGTGCCCAAGTAAGTAAATCCACGATGTTTCAGTGCTTGCAGTAGTTGTATCGAGGTAAACCAGTTATCTGCTGTTATATTTCGGTTACAGCCATCGATCCCTTTACAAAGATGTAGAACAGATTGTGTGGGAATTGAAAAGCGTTTCTCTGCATCACTTAGACCATGGCCATCAGATCCTGTGCCATAATATACATAAGCATTGTATATATAAAAACTTTGAGCGTCAACCAGCAGGAGAACTTTTAATCCATATTTATTTGGCTTGTTTGGCATATATATTCTAAATTTACAACGCCCTCTAAAAGCTACAAGCATTTCATCTATACAAATGTAAGGACCCAAAGTGTAATTTTTCTGGCAATTACTGATGAACTCTTGAAATAACTCTGAAATAGCGGCAAGTTTATCGTCTTTTAATCGTTCAGATCTTGTTTGAGTATTATCAAAACGCAAACAGTTTAACAAGACCAGAAATCTGTTTTTGGACATAACGCAGCGAAAAATATCCCGTCCTGTGCCATCTGTTGCAAAAATAAAGTCTGAATTTTCGTGATTTGATTGGAATACTGATGTATAAAACAATAGCCCAATTAAAGCCTTTATTTCTGTCTCATTCGTTGAGCCTAGTTCAGATCTGCTACTGTCTTTATACTTAGCCCTATAGCTATCTAATTTCTTGTTTGTATAAGCTACTATCATTTCAATCATGTGATCACTAAACATCACTTTCCATAATTCTGTGAAAGATTCAAATTCAAACGGACTTACTTGAGATGGTGCATTGACAATATTGTGCACGCGTACTCGACTTGTTCGGGATGGTTCCGCCGATGCCCATTTGTACCTATTCTTCCCGTAAAAATAGCGCGGCAGCTCTCCTGTTGATTCTTCATTTGGCTCCTGGTCTATTCTAAGATCTTCACTACCCTGGTCATTTCGCGTCTCTACTTCGCTATACTGCTCCTCTCCGATCTTTTCAATTCTAGTCTCTGCTGCGCCATGCTCTTTCTCTCCGACTATTGTCTCTTTTCCGATCTGTTCTGTAATGTCCTGGCTTCCATGAGCTCGTACTTCTCTTTCCTGTTCTTCATTGTCGTGATTATGGTTGATTTCTCCGTGGTAAACTTCCTCAACATGGGGATACGTGACGTCAACATCATCCTCATCGGATTGTTCAGATTCCGTGTTGTGATCGCTCTCTAAAATAAAATCGTCGTCAAAATCACTACAGTTGTCGTCACTCTCGTTTGTAAGATTTTCACATATCTCTTTATCTTCTAAAGGCCTATTCTGTTTTCGAAGTTTCAGAGGCCTCTCGGGAACTGAACCGTCATCTTTTGCAGGTATTTTCTGCTCACTAGACGTGACGTTTCTCCTTTTAGGCATTCTGCGATTAAAAGTATAATTTTAAAGCCGATGTGACGTCAATCAGACACTATAAGCTACCACACATGAATACCGAGGTGACGACCAAGAGACGTACGAAATTTAGTACATAAACACCGTGCTTACGTCTGTGAGACGTCGATCGCTTCAATACGGAGATGTGTGCAATCGCCGCCGGCGCAGCGTTGACTGATGGCTTGTGACGCGGAGGGAGGAAGGTAGCGGGAAGGGCGGCGCTAACGGTGGCGTGATTTTAGAAATATTTTAAAATGAAAATTTATTACGTCTGTGAGACGTATAGGTCGGTAGTTAAAGGTTAAAAAACCATTAAATAGCAGCACTCAATAAATTTTTACAGTTAAAATTCCGCACTCTTGAGCTTGTCACGCCGCCAACCAGAGAAAGACCCTCACGTAGAGGAAGAGAATACACTGTTTACTTATCTATGAGTACTAATGATACGGCGACTTCTACGAAACTAAAAGTTTGTGCTATGTGCAATGCAACGAAAATCACACATTGTGTCACTGTGAACAATTCATCAAGCTAAGCCCAACAGAGAGATGTGATTACATAAAGAAACACAATCTGTGCTTTAATCGTCTGGCCCCTGGTCACTCTGCACGATGTCGCCTGAAGATGTCCCGTAATACATGTCACAAACGTCATCACACGCTCACGCACCATTTCACGCCTATGACGTCATCAAGCCAGCCAGACAATTACAAGAATCAAGACAAACGATGTTGAAGATCATCAATCTTCTGCACAATCAGCCGAATCCAATGTCACACTTTCATCACATGTCGCTTCTAAGGTGTCCACTGCATTGCTGGCCACAGCACTCATACCAGTAAAAGGTTACGATTCGAAACAAGTGACAGTGTTACGCGCGTTGATTGATCACGGCTCCCAGGCTACGTTTATGAGTGAAAGAGCAGCCCAGACTCAGAGCAGATGTTACGATTAAGGAGGACGCCTATCAATGGCACTATCACTGGTGTTGGCTCCACTAAAACAAACGTTAAATATGCTGCAGAAGTTGAACTTCTCTCAAGGTACGACCCAAGCTTCAACATAAGAATCAAAACGTACATAATGTCGACGCAACCGACTACCTAACTGCCGACTCAAACTATCTCTACAAGCACCTGGCCGCACTTGCAAGGACTTGTTTTGGCTGACCCAAGATATAATCAACCAGGACGAGTAGATCTATTACTAGGGGTCGACGTGTGTGCTCAAATAATGAAAAGCGAAGTTACCAAGGGACCCCCATGAACACCTTGTGCTCAAAATACGACCCTGGGTTAGATTCTGTTTGGGAGCGTGGAAGACAAACCCGTCGATAAGTTAATTGTTATGCACCATAATCTTATCCTAAACGAATGTGGGAACAAGACGCATACGATAAAGTAATACCTACAGCAGATGAGCGAAGGTGCGAGGAAGTCTACGAAACCACAAGCATAAGAAATGTTATTATCAACCCAAGGAAACACGCGAACAATAGCTCTGCAGAGACTTTTTCAATTAGAACAAAGATTCAAGAAAAACTCAAAACTAAAAAACGATTATGCTACGGTTATGAAAGACTACGAATCCAATTACATGGAAGAAGTACCCAGACACGAGATGAGCAATCCATCAGTATACTTACCACATCATGCTGTTGTTAAGGCTGACGCTGAGCTGACGAGCTGTTGGTACTTTGTTTGGTGTTGGTACAAGGAGACATGAGAAGTCTTATAATGAGATGGCGGATGAAAAGAATCTGTTTTGTAGTGGATATACAAATATTTATCTCCAAATCATGGTCACGAAAGAAGACAGGACCGCAACCGATCTGCAACGAGTACTCTGGAGATATGATGATCAAGATCCTGTCAAAGAATACGACTTACCAGGGTCACGTTCGGAACTGCTTCTGCTCCTTTCTTGGCAGTAAGGACCTTACACCAAGTAGCTCATGACGAAGGCCAAAACCATCCCGAAGCAGCAGAAATAATAAAGAGTGATTGCTTCATGGATGATATGATGTCTAGAAAAGATAATCTCACCGATGCTATCATATCAGAATTGCCAAAGACGTAGACGGCATACTAGAGAAGGGAGGCTTCAAATTAAAAAAAAATGGTGTTCTAATGATGCAGACTTCCTAAAGGAATTTGAAGAGTCAGAAAGAAGTTCTCATGTAAAACTGGTCATAACATTAGACGGGATTACACGAGCGTTAGGACTACACTGGAATATTGGCAAAGATCTATTTCAATACAGCTTAAACCTACCTGCCACGGCAAATATAACTACAAAAAGAACGATTGTGGGTGACCTACAGAGATTATTTGATCCACTGGGCTGGTTGGCACTTTCTGTCTTACATGCCATATTTCTAATCCAAAGATTATGGCTGCAAGGAGTAGCATGGGATGAGGAGGTGGACGAAACGATTGCTGCAGAGTGAAACAATATACGAGATTCGTTTCATGGTACATATGAAACGAATACCTGATAGGAAACAGATGGCTAAATACTACTGAAGCCACAATAAACAATGTTACTATCCACGGGTTCTGTGATGCATCATCTCGAGCTTACGCTGCAGTAGTCTGTCTACCTAAGAGTAAGAATAGAAAGCGGTGAAGCGAAGACATCAATCATCGCTGCTAAAACCAAAGTTGCACCTACAAAACCACAATCCCTTGTTTCGAACTAAGTGGCGCTGTACTGCTTGCTGGTCTTTTAAAACAGATAAAGGAATCAATGAACGTACCTGCCTGTCAGATATTTGCTTGGACTGACTCAACCATTGTACTCTCGTGGTTGTTCGGTGATCCTGCAAGATACTTACGTGATAAATAGGCTTGTTGAAATAGTTGACACAATCGGCAATCATAATTGGTACCATGTCAAATCGCCAGAAAATACAGCTGACTCCGCTTCACGAGGGCAATCATTGCAAGAGCTAAAAAAATGATGAACTGTGGTGGAACGGCCCAGAGTGGCTGAGAGTAGGGCAAATCCAATACAGCAGATCAAATACAACCTGGACAGACCTGGAAAGAAAGAAATCGATACAAATAAATTTGAAATTAGACAAAGAGAAGAGTATTAGTACAAAATTTGAGGATTGTGACAAGTTGCAAGAATTGCTTAAGGTGATTATATACTCTAAAAGATTCTTGAAGGGAAAGAAAATGGAATACAAAGACTTACCTGTGACCACGATGGAACTTAATGATGGGCTAAAACCTGCATAAAAATAACTCAGGGACAGTTTCGAAGAGGGAATACAGCACCTGAAATCAAAGGAACAAATTAGAAGAGCCAGTAAACTAAAGAGTTTAAAACCTTAACTGGACGTTGATAACATCCTCAGGATGGGCGGCCGAATGCGTCACTCAGACCTAAATGATGACAGCAAAAACTTACTCAGATGCCTTCATCGGAGCCTTCAGAAGGTTCGTGGCTAGACGTGGAAGATGCGCACACGTCTGGAGTGACCAAGGACGTAATTTGTTAGGGAGAACAGTATACTAGCTGCAGAATGGGCTGAAGCTAAACTTAAATTCGAGGGTCCAATTGCTGAGATGCTAGCAGTGGATGAGATTGAATGGAATTTCATTCCCGCCTATAGCCCACACATGGGTGGACTGTGGGAAGCCGGAATCAAATCGATTAAAAACCGTTTGAAACGGATAATGACCTCTCACGTAACGTAGGAAGAGATGAGCACCTTGTTATGTCAATTTGTAGCTTGCCTCAACTCACGACCGCTTAACATATTTAGAGACACGGGCACAGACAACATCCAACCATTACCGCCTGACCATTTGCCGGTGAGACGCCTATAACGGTTCCGACACCAGACTTCCAAGACATTCCAACAAGTCACTTATCAAGATGGCAGTACCAACAAAGATTGTTGACGGACTGGCGTCGATGGCAACAAGAATACCTGTTGAGAATGCAACAGTGTCCGAAATGGCAAAGGAAGGTCAAGTAATTTGACATTGGTCACATTGTTCTCATAAAATCAGATAGTTTGCCCCCAGGTAAATGGATGATGGGACGTATTGTAAAAAAACATCCGGGTTCTGACGGTGTCACTCGTGTATACAGTGTAAAAAGTGGTGCTAGTGTCGTGCAAAGATCTGTAAATAAGCGGTGTTACTTACCAATAGACATTGAAGCATGATTTATTTTATTTATAACTAAGGCAAATTGTGTTTATATTCTATATGTATAGTTTAATTAATTCTGTAAGGACTTGTGTCTTTATTTTTTCTTGTGTGTTATCTTTGAGTCTATTGTAACCAACACGTTGTAACATGTAATAAAATTGTTAAAGGGCTCATAGGCCTTTTGGTGGGCGGTATGTTCGGATAAACTGCTCTATACGAGTGTGAGAGCGAGCGTAAGTGTGAATACGTACACGCATGTTTAAATAGGTTCAACATTTAAAAGCATAATTTGTTGCAAATAAATCATCGCGTAGTAAACACGTCTTTCAGTGACCACAAATTCTTACAAACGAAAGTGAATCTTAACATCTATTACGTTTATAAAGAAAGCTGGGTTTCTTGTTGGTTCATTAATAAAAATTACTTTGATTAAGAAGTACATGTAATTTTATTGAATAAAAATTAATCTATTCTTTAAAGAAATAATTCGTCAGCCATTCTGATGTGTTTTGATGAACTTTACATATATTTAAAATTTGGTTAATTTGTTAGAAATGCATATGTAGCAAAATTTTTCTTTTCTTACGATGTTTTTAGACAACATAAACTTACCTTCTATCAAAATTGCTGCAGTAATATTGTTTTAAATATTATGATATATTGCTATTCAGCGAAAGCCATAACAACCGCTATCTCGTATTTTCTTTCGTTTTTCGAGTACGAGTTTCATATTGGTGCCATATAATTTTATTGGTTTCATTAAGTTAATTTTGCAAATTGCGTTTACAGCTATCGCCTATAGAGAAGTACGCGATGCGGCTGGTGGAGAGCAGCGAAGCGGCAACGGAGGCAGAGCGCGCGGCGCTCGGCGAGATGCGGCGCCAGCTGCGCGAGTGGGAGCGCGCGCGCCGGGCGCTGCGCGACGAGCCCGAGCCCGAGCCCGAGCCCGCGCCCGCGCCCGCGCCCACGCCCGAGCTCACATACTGCCGCAGCGATGCGCGCATCAAGGTGCGTTCCCGGAGAAGTCGCGGCGCGGCGGGCACGCCGGGCACGCCGCCGTCGCCGCCGCCGTCGCCGCCGACGCCGCAGCCGCGGCCGCCGGCCTCGCCGCCCCCGCCCCCGCGCCGCGCCACGCCCCGCACGCGGTCGCGCGGCACGGTGCACATAAACCTGTGGACGCTGGACGAGCAGCGCTGCGCGCGCCGCCGCCACCTGCGCAACGGCACGCTCGACTCGTGGCTCGCGGCCGCCTCTCCCCCGCACCCGCATCCGCACCCTCCCGACGAACACAATAAATGACTTTGTACAACTTACCCGGCGTTTATATTTCTGACGTTCGACGTTTTGGTGCCGCTCGATTTCGTCCGTAAATGCTTGTACTCTCACTGTTGGTCCGGTGCTTGCGCGAGATGCCACCAAAACGGCGACGCCGCCCCGAACGTCAGGGATGTAACGCGCACCAAGCATTTACGGGCGAAGCCGAGCGCCGCCGCCCGCTCCCATCCCCTCCCCCACGGCCTCGGTCTCGCCCTCCCCGGTAGACGATTAAAATATGTTGATAAATAATTCTTACTTATCCTAGTATTCTATAGCTTACTAATTATACCTTGATCTTAGAAAATAAATCGAATTCTATATACGTAAATAAATATGAAAACAACGAATTTACTTAAACTAAGAGAGTACTTAAACGTCTATAATAGATTAATTTATACTTTTCATACACCTAAACATAACATATGCTCATGGAATAAAATTTGATGAAAATAATTAATACTATAATAAGCATTAGAACATTATTATACAATATTGAGATATACCTCAGATGGTTTAAAAATATACTCTACTAAGCTGCCAATTTTATTTAATAGAAATTGTAGAAACATTGAAAGCATATGTATTTAAACAATTACTACTGCATTAAATAATTGAAAAGTATGTATATATATATATTTTGAAAAGTTTTATTTTGATAAAAGCCTGGGGCTAAGACATAAACTGGTTTATCAAAAAATTACAATGCCATACCAGCCATGTTGTCCCTAAATTCCTCAGTAGTGTAGTGGCTAAGCGCTTTACTGCTCAGGTTATGATCAGGTCAGGGCTCAATGTCTTCGCAGGGCAAGTATTTTGTAAACTAATGTTTGTAAATTTATCCAAGTGTGGGTATTACTATTTTTATTTCAAGTTCTTCAGTGACATTAATTTAAATTAAAGATGCAGGTTTAATGATAAATATCATAACATAAAATAAATTGCCTGCAGAATGCTTAACTTTTTTAAAACACTGTATATTCCATGTGTCTTAACTTTATTTTCTGCATTGTCATGACATTAATTGAAACAAAATCCAATGTGAACCCACAAGGGCTTTGTTTTTTCAACACAGAAATATGATTGGCAAAAAGAACAAGTGGTAAAGTAAAAAAAATTGTACAACCGAGTTCAATATAAATAAAATGAGAATATCATCAATGTAATCGAAGTTGAGCGGATGCTCAAAAACTATTGATCAAATCTTAATCAAATTTATGTGGGACCATGTGAGAAGCACCAGCTTTCAAATAAAAAATAATTAACATCTGTACACACACATAAAAAAAAAACAACGAAATTGCGTACTGCCATTTTTGATTTTGATCTCTGTAAAATAAGGACGAAACGTTGAAATTTGTACGTCGGGAGCGCAACAAGTCCTGACTGGTGTCAGTGCCAGCGCACGGAGATTTGTTGAGGTCTGAGTTCTGACATTACGTGGATGTGTGTGAATGAACTTTAAGGGAAATAGAAAACAACACAAACAGGAGTTGAAATTATACGCCGGGAATGAATCGCTTTGTATATATGCATAAGTTTAAATTGGAATCAAAGTTTTTATATGATTTTAAATTTAGGTTGGGTATGTGGATAGTTAATAAATTTGGGAGTTTGAAACATAGAATGTTATTGAATTGAGTAAGTATAATTTGTTATTTTATATTTAAGGACTTTTTATGGTATGCAAAAATCACATACCTACTGCATTTTATATAAGTGCAAATGTTTTTAAATCTGATTCGTCTATCGGTATGAATGCTTGGTGAGTAGGTAGGTAGGTTTGGTTAGATCTGTGTTTTTTTTTTCATCATTACAGTTATTTTATCCATTGATTTACTGTTGCAGGTGTGGGTGACCGGTTCAGGTTCTCTGGAGAAGATGCCGGTGAGTAGTGTAGTTTCGCGTGTGTGTGTTATGTGAGTCGATCGCTGAGTAAACGTATTTCGTGCGCAGATGTGGTGTCCGCCGACGCCGCCGTCGAGCGAGGGCGACGTGTACTGCGAGAGCTGGGCGCTCCCGCTGTACCGGCGCGGTGCCGCCGCCGAGGCGCTGCTGCCGGCCGTGGCGCGGCGCGCCGGCGACATGCGTGCGGCCCGCGAGCCGCGTCGCGCCCGTGCTGCGCCGCGCGCCGCCCCCGCGCCGCCCTCGCTGTTCGCGCGCGCTGGCGCCCCGGCCCGCGCCCGACCGCGTGCGCGCCCTCCGCCGCACCGCGACGCGCCGCAGCCCGAGTGGGCAGCCGGCGAGGACGCGGCGCTGCGACGCGCGCTGCGCCTTCAGCACCTGCCGCCCGACCCGCCCGCCGCGCTCGCGCCCAACTGGGACTGGGCCGCCGACCTGGTCAACGAGGCGGCGCGCTGCTACCGCTCGCCGCGCGCCTGCCGCGACCGCCACGACGCACTGGCCGACCCGGAGCGCGAGCGCGCGCGCCGCAAGCACCGCAAGCCGGCGCCGGCGCGCCGCCGTCCGGACGACGAGGCCCCGCGCCCGCCGCTGCCGCGCCTCGACGCCATGCGCGACGCTGCCGAGCGCCGCCGCACTGCGCCCAAGCGCCGCCTCGACGACGCCGCTCACCGCAACCCTAAGCACCACGCGCTACTCGCCGACCACGGCGTCGACTACGACGCACCGCCCCCGCCCATGGAAGTGGCCACGCGCCGCGCCGAGCGCATTGCCAAGGAGAAGATGAAGGCGGGTACCGCCGCAAGCGCCGCCGCGCCGCAGCCCGCGCCCGCCACGCCCCAGCGCATAGTGGTAGCGGCGGGCGGGCCGGCGGCGACGGGGGCGGTGGCGGTGAGCGCGGCGCCCGGGACGGCGGCGGTCAAGGCGGACGCGGCGAGACGCACACCGACCGCGGGTGCTCAGCTGCTGTACCGGCAACAGGCGCTAGCTGCACGCCATCATCTCAAGATCCTGCACCACGCCGCTGCGCCGCACGTACAGGTCACACATTACATATAATGTTCATGCTAAAGACCACAGACTAAATTAGACAAATATGTGAAATGTGATCTCGATTCATTTTGTTCGGTATGATTCAAAACGCCGATACTTGGGAACTCTAATTCAGAGTTTACCTTTTGCTTAATTGTTTTGACTACTTACAACTTCTAAATGCATGTTTTTTTCCTAAAAATTACTATCTTCACCACTTATGTGTTTGTTTAACACTGTGTCGAAAAGCCATAAAAAACCACTTACAAATATGTCGATTCAATCATAAAAAATCACTATGGTCAACCAAATCTAAGAAATACATTTTGACAGCAGTCAGACTTATTGCACCAAGCATGCCAACCAAAAAATGGGAACGTAAAATATTCGATTCTTAAAAAAATCGATATCGATTATTTAGAGTTGGTAATCATTTACAGTTTGTTTTGAATAATAACAGAATAAATTAGAAAGGGATAATTTAAAACACAAGATTTATTAATTTCTTCATATTTTTTGTTACTGCTTATTTCTAGAGGCAAAGTTATAAATATTTAAGATTGAAACTAGATTAAAAATAAATTTATTCAGTCACTTTTAGTTCAACTAAGGGAACTGTCGTTGTTTAGATTAATTCTTATTTGATTTGAAATAATGCAGTCAAAATGAATGTCTTTTTCAAAGTTATCCATAATAATTTTTTTTTGTTTTTTCTACCACTTTTACCCAATCATCCCTTGTGACATGGGCATATGAAGCCATTTTTACAAAAACAACATAACTTTCATTTTTCGTAATTTTTTGTTACTGGTAACTTTTGTTCGTTTTCAAATAGGCTTTTCAATGCATTGATCCGTTTTTAACAAAAACTACTCAACTACGAGAAATCCCTTGTTAAAAATTTGGAGATTTTACAAAAACTACATATGTGCAATAATATTTGGCAAAAACAACATAACTGTTACAGTTGTGTAGTTTTTGTAAAAAAAAAAGTCGTCAAATCTGTCACTGTCAGTGTAGTGTATCAGTTGGCGGCAGAGAGTTGTTTTGTTTTGGAGTGAATTTGCAAGTTTTGCTATAAATTATGGCGGAAAATAGTGAAAATAATACTGGAATTAAACGTAAAAGACCCAAGATGAAAAAAGAAACTGTGATAAAATTAAAGAAAGCTCAAGGAAAAGAACATATTAACCACAGAAATAACCTAGTCAAAGAAAGAGTGGTTGGACCTGATTGCAGGTTAGCTAAGTAAATATATTAGTGTTTTCATTGTTGTTTATCGTTGTTGCAATAAAAATAACCTAAATTCTTTATTTCCAGGTGCAAAGTTTTGAAATGTTATATCAAAATAAGTTCTCAAGATAGAGAAAATATAATACTTCATTTCAATATGTTGGGCAACAAAAATGATCAAGATGCTTACTTGATGAGTCTGATTTCATCATCATACCCTAAGAGGCATACTACTGAAGTTCCACAAAAGTTTCGAATGGCTTCTTATTCATTTAAAATACGCGTTGGTGTAAATGAAATACCAGTATGCCTGACGGCTTTTTGCAACATTCATGGGGTGACAAAAGGTCGCGTCCGAAGGCTTCAACATCTGATTTCAATTAATGTTTTAACACCTAAGGATATGCGTGGATCACACAAAAGCAACAGGTACAAGAAAACACCTGAAGAAGTTCTAAACCTAGTCCGCAACCACATTGAGTTATTTAAAACCATGCAATCACATTATTCCCTGAGACAAGACCCTAACTGCCGATATTTGCCTGAAGATTTAACTGTTTTCAAAACGTTTAACATGTTTCTGAATAGTTATCAAATAAAGAGTCACTTATATGGAGTATTGGTTAGTTTTTAAAAATGAATATATATTAAATTCGGTTTACCAAGAACAGACACCTGTGCAACATGTGATAAATACAGATTAAAGATAAAATTGGCTGCTTTGGATGAGACAAAAACTTTACTGAAGAATGAACATAAACTGCATTTGTTGAAAGTTGAAAAATTCAATGAAATTAGACGCCAAGAAAAACAAAAAAGCTCAGGAGGGTAAAACTATGTGTGTTACATTCGATTTCATGCAAAATCTGCCATTACCCCATATTCGGACTAGTGATGTGTTTTTTTGTCGCCAGCTGTGGCTCTATGTATTTGTTGTCCACAATGTTGGAACAAATCAAGTGGTTTTGAATAGCTACTTAGAGACAGAAGGTAAAAAAAGGCCAGAATGATGTCACAACACTTTTATTAAGATATTTTAGTACCCACGGAATGTCTTCTGATAAATTAGTGCTGATAAGTGATGGATGCTCTGGTCAGAACAAGAATTATGTAATGGTGTACTTTCTCTACTGCTTAGTTCATGGGCTGATGTTATTTAAAAGTATTAAATATATATTTCCTATCAGAGGACATACTTATCTCCCAAATGACCAGGATTTTAGCTTGATTGGGAATAAAAAGAAAAAAATGATAGCAGAAGTACCAGATGACTGGAATGACTTAATGGAAACTGTAAGAAAAAATCCATCGCCTTTTATTGTGGATAAAATAAACCATACTGATTTTATGAATATAAAAGCAGCTGTTAGTCCTTTTTTTTTACGTCAGCCAAAACCTGCAATGAAGCTGAAAGAAGTTAGGATGCTTAAAATAAATAAAGATGTTCCTTATGTTCAAGTCAGGTATACCTTTACTGGTCCATGGCACAGGATACAGATTCGCAATAAAAGAAAACTGCCTAAAGAACTTCAATTTCAGCCTACTTATGAATCGAGATTGCCGTTAAATCCTCATAAATATAATGATATACTTAAACTAACCCAATATTTCTCAAGCCCTGTAAGTCACAAATTTTATGCAGATCTATTGGGTTCAGTTACTTCACCTGACACTACCACCTCATTAGCTAATGAAGTAGAGAATGAAGACAATAGTAGTGGCACAGAAGATAATTAGCACTTTTTATGATTATATACCTAAAAGTACTAACTTTTTAATAAATACCTGGTTGCTGCTTTTAAAATGAGTTTTATTATAAAATTTATTGAACATATGTTTTTTTGTTACAAAAACAACTTAACTTCAGGAAAATCCAGAAATTTAATTACAAAAACCGCATAACTAACAATATTTGGCAAAAAATACATAAATACGAAGCCCATTTTTTTATTTTATTGGACTTGTAGGAAATATAACTATAAAACATCAGTTTATTATGAATAAATAACCAGAAATACATAATTGAATAAAATATTTAATGACTAAATTTAAAAAGATATTAAGTTTTTTTTTTCAATACTAAATAATTATGTGTAACACAGTTATGTTGTTTTTGTAAAAATTGCTTCATATGCTTCAACGAGTCGTCGAGATATCGAGTCACAAAATAAGAAAACAAACACAAAATCACAAAATTACATACAGTGTGATCCCATGTATTGTAGCTGCAAGCCTCTAACAAACTAATTGAATCTCTAAATCATTTTTGTTCTTGTAAATCAAAATTGATTTAATCATGCATAATACATAATTTGCATAAGCTTAGTTTTCTTTTTAGTTTCTAGGCAGAGGAGTTTACTTAGTAGGTTTATCCTTGCTATACATGTTTATGGTAATAATCTAATCGTAATCATCTTAAAAATTGGTGCTAATACTTTTATAAATGTACCATGTGAACTAATTAATTTCCATTTGATTTTAAATTTTGAATTTGACATTATATCTTTTTTAGCCCTTGATAGACAAAGGACAAATGTACCATACAGCCAGTATCGATTATATACTTTGATTTTGTTTTGATCGATTTCTTTGGTAAATTTATTTTTATTATTTTGTGCGATACCTATTTTGGAACTGTTTCTTGAATATTTTTATTAGACTAAAATATTTTGCCACCTAAGATATCATAGATTATACTTAAGTTTGCACATAAGATCTATTTATATTAAGTTTACTTTGTAAACAGTTAACTGATGGGATGGTGATGTTTATGTTTGCTAAGTTTTTTGTTTATAAATTAGTCTTATAGTTTACATACCTTACTTTTATATATATTATATTCCTTTATTTATTGCTTTTTTATATTTATTTAATTTAGGTATTATTTTCATTCATATAGTCATTTAGCTCTGCAAATGATTCTTATGCCTTGTCATTTTACTCTTGTGATGATTCTTTCAACGACAGCGTGCTTGATTTACACCAACTATTCAGAGGAGTTTTCAGGAGGAGTGGAGTCATATAAATGCTCAAAGTATCCCGAGCCACTATACTGAACTCGAGGCTTCATTTTCGCCCGAGCATATTCATGCCATATTAGTGTTGGAAAGTTGGCTGATGGTTTCTTTACCGTCGATTTTATATCCACTTCCCTTTTTTGTACTTATTAGGAATGATCATGTTAGAAAAGGTGGAGGTGGTGTAGCCATCTACCTACACGCATCAATTGCTCATAAAATTGTTTTAGCATATCCTTCCTCTTATTCCGCCTCTTCTGAGTTTTTATTTATGGAACTCGATGTCAAGGGTATAAAGATGTTTCTAGGGGTAGTGTATTGCCCCCTTCGACAGACTACTTCGCCACTTTAGAATTGCTCTTGTTGATATTTGTTCTGAGTACACACACTGTATAATCATGGGTGACTTCAATACAGATTTGTTGAAAAGCTCTTCACATTCCAATAAGCTTCTTTCAATTGTTGAGTCGGTTAATCTTTCTATTCTCTCTAAAGGCTACTCGTCACAATATTGGAACTAATGACTCATTGATTGATCTTATTTTTGCTGCCTCTCCTGGTCATGTAATGTTCTGTGGTCAGTTACACATTATATGACTTGATTTACGCTGCGTGTAGGCTTTAGATCGAAACCTCTCAAATATTCCTCCTCTTGTACTGCATCTACGCAGTTTTTCTAAAATAAATTTTGACAATGACGCTCTTAATCTCGATCTAGCCTCATTTATTGCAGCACCTACTGTTGACGACAAAGTCTCTACTCTTAACCATAAAGTT